AAAACCCGACAAACGACAAAACCCACAAAAAACCCACAAAACCCGACAAAACCACAAACCACAAAACCCGACAAACCGACAAAACCCGACAAACGACAAACCGACAAAACCCACAAAACCCGACAAAACACAAAACCCAACAAAACCCACAAACCCACAAAACACAACACAAAACCCGACAAACCGACAAAACCCACAAAAAACCCACAAAACCCGACAAACCACAAAACCCGACAAACTGACAAAACCCACAAAAAACCCACAAAACCCGACAAAACCAAAACACAAAACCCGACAAAACCCACAAAAAAAAACCCACAAAACCCGACAAACCCGACAAAACCCGACAAACCGACAAAACCCACAAAAACCCACAAACCCGACAAAACCCCGACAAAAAAAACCCACAAAACCCACAAAACCCGACAAACCACAAAACCCGACAAACCGACAAAACCCACAAAAAACCCACAAAACCCACAAAACCGACAAACCCACAAAACCCGACAAACGACAAAACCCGACAAACGACAAACCGACAAAACACAAAACCCACAAAACCCGACAAAACCGACAAAACCGACAAACCGACAAAACCCACACAAAACCCACAAAACCCGACAAACCCACAAAACCCGACAAACCACAAAACCCGACAAAACCAAACAAAACCCACAAAAAACCCACAAAACCCGACAAACCCACAAAACCCCTAAAAACACCCAAACAAACCCCAAAACCCGACAAACGACAAACAGACAAATGACAAACCGACAAAACCCGACAAACAGCAAAACCCACAAAACCCACAAAACCCGACAAAACCCAACAAACGACAAACAACAACCGAGCAGGGATGGGCATGATTAGTCGAATAATCACTCAGAAATTCGTCGATCACGTTCATTTTTAACGGACAAACCGAGCGTCGGTTTCCGTGTGTAGTGTGAGGAGACGAGGCCAGAGTCCTGCACAGGTTCATTTTTGGAGACCCGCACCCACCCGGACCTGCACAGTCCAGAACTGCACCTGCCCGTAAACCCGAGATTCTATCAAAATTAAACCCGTGTTCCAATCAGTGGGAGCAGGTAGGGGGCGCTCTTGGAAAAAAGCATCAAAACTAAAACAAAACGGACTCCAGGCATTTCAAAGATGTAAAAACAGTTTTTAAAAAACAGCACGAGGAAAAATATCGTTCAAAGGCTTTTATTTAAATGGCCAAAGTTGACATGTTTCGACCTTGACTGGTCTTCGTCAGGGCTCAGTTAAACCCGCCCGGACCCGTGAACATTCCACCCGTTACCCGCCCGCGCCCACGATAAACCACACACAGTTTAAAAACATTCTAACTGAAGTGTCCATCAGAATACGAACTGAAAAGTTACGACTTGAAATTAAATGAAATGTTTACACTTTCTTCAGGACGAACGCGAATTCACAGACGCGACTCGAGTGTCAAAACTTCACGAGGATTATTTACTGAGCAGAAGAAACACGGATCGAGATGCCGGACATTTGCGCAGCACACACCACGGACTGAACCAAGACTGAACCAGGACTAAACCAGGACTAATCTTGGACTAATTCCTGGATTGTACCAGGACTAAACCAGGACTGAACCAGGACTGAACCAGGACTCACTGTCAGGACAGGACCGTCGAGGTAAGCATCTGCTCCACGGGCTCGGGGTTCTCTCTCTCTCTCTTAAGTCCAAGATTAGTCCTGGTTTAGTCCTGGTTTAGTCCTGACCCGCCCGTGTGTAATCACTACCCGCCTGTAAAATTCCAGAACGTTAAAAACCGCCCATTTCAGCAACTACCCGTGAGTACCCGACCCGGTGCAGGACTCTGGACTCTGCGTCTGGAGTTGCGTCCTCACAGTCCCACGTCTCGGCTCTGGCCCCTCCTCACTCGTTCACTCATAGATCCTGTTTCCACGAGAACATTCACGAGTAAAAACGACTTAATATTTTATAGGAAGTGTCTTTCGTTTAGACGGTGACGGAGTTTTTGGGACTTAAAAACACAAAAATCTGAACCCACCTCCAGAGTGTAAAAGTTGAATATTCTCCACCGTAGAGTTTCTGTCTCCACTGACCAAGACACAAAACTCTGGTCACATGTGCTCAGGTCGTGTACGTGTCCATAGCGTCAGTCGAGTCAGACGGATCTGGACCAGACCTGGAGAACCAGTGGATGGTGGGACGACTTTGTGGAAGGAGGAGCTGATGAAAATGTGTGGAGTGAAAACTTCTGTATGTCCAAAGACAAACACACACAATCCAATTCACACACTTTTGTGTCACCGTCTGCAGCAGATTTACTCCTGAAAACACTCGACTAAACCACCAAGAAAAAGAGAAACGCGACGACACTTTTACATCTTCTGTTCAGACCCTCAGCATGTAAACATAGACTTAGAGTGAGTTTTTGATCAGGTATGATCGTCTTTTTTGAGTATCCTGGTTTCGTCATGATGCATGTAAACGCAGAATTCCGGTTACTGCAACAAAAATTTGAGTAAGACAAACACTTTTCAGTCTTTTCATCACAACAGAAGCCAAAATAAATAAAGCGACCGACATAAATACAGTGAGTGAAATGACTAAGCTGTTAAATAAAGAGCTGCTCTAAACCTGCACACCTACACGAGAAAAGTTTTAAAACACCCAAATTATTTTTCCGGTTATTTATTGCACTTCAAGTCGTGCAAGTCCAATGAGTCACTTGAAACGGAACAAAGGTAAAAACTGAACAGACAGAGGTTAAAAAAAAAAGATAAAAGAACAAAACACACATCCAAATTCTGCCAAAACCACCTCAGGAAAAAAGAACAAGACGGTCAAGTTTGAAAACCTGAAGTGTCCAGCAGAAGCAGCAGCTCAGTGTCCAGACTTAAACCCATCGAGCTGACGACTGAAGAGTGAAGCAACCGACAAGTGTCACACATTTAAGGAAACTTCTGTGACAGACTTGGGAAGAACTTTCTCAACAAATATTTGATTTGTGTTGTAAAAAGAACGAGCCACGAGTGAGTTCAGCTGTTCTACCTGACAAAGGTCGACACACGACAATCTAAAGAGCAGAATGTGTTTCGGTCGACAGGAAACTGGAAAAAACTGGAAAAAACTGGAAAAGGGTACCAGCAGTGTATGATCTGATTTTTTTTCAGAGAGCTTATAGTTTATGCAAATGAGTCATGTGGTTTTAATTTCCCATAAAACGTAAACAAATGTGTTAAAGCTGCATTGCACACTTAATAATGTCAAACGGGCTGATGTGGCTCTAGAGTCTTTATGGTTTATATGTCGTAAAGTTGAGTTTATTTATGCTGATTAGTAACAGTGATAATAATGACGATAATTTAAATATAAAAACATTCATGATTAATCAAAAATAGATTGTTAATCGTTATTCGATAAAGAAAATTTTACTGAATGCCCATCCTTAAAATCGACAAATTGACAAACTGACAAACCCGACAAACATGAAAAAAACCCCGATAATCCGACAAAACCAACAAAACCGACAAACCCGACAAAAACGTCAAAACCAACAAACCTGAAAAAAACGGCACTGACAAACCCGTCAAAACTCATAAACCGACACACCCAACAAAACCCGTCAAACCCGACAAAACCGACAAACTGACAAACCCAACAAACCGACAAAAACATTAAAACTGGCAAACCTGACAAAACCGACAGCACCGACAAACCCGACAAAACTGACAAAACCAATAAACCCGACAACACTGACACACCGACAAACCTATGTACCGGTCGTGCGGAGTCTTAAATCGTTCGTATCTTTCTGTTCTAATGTCGTTTCCTCGTCGCAGACTCACCTGGACGTGTGTTTTGTTTCATTCATTTTATTTTTTATGTTTTTACAGGAGCATTTATTCTCATTTTAACTCCAGCATTTAAAATATAACATTTTAACACCAAAGTTTTAAATCCAAAGTTTTAACTCTGACATTTTAATTCCGACGTTTTAACTCCAGTGTTTTAACTTCAAAATTTTAACATTGACATTTTAACTCCAACGTTTAACACTGTCAGATTTTTTCCTTTTTACCTGGAGTGTCTCACCTTAATTAAAAAATTCCCGGCTGCACACACAGTTTTTATGTTGACAATTTGAATTTTTTTTTTGTTTTACTTTTACCTTCCCTTTTTTATTCCTTTGAATTGTTTTTTTTTACACAGATTAACAGAAAAAAATATGATATCCTCCAATAAAACATTGATGAACTTGTCTCTTGTCTGTATTTGAATGTAAATTTTGTGTTGAATAAATAAAAATGGACAAAGATTCTGGTGTTTTTTGTTGTTGTTGTTATTACTGGGAAAAGCAGAAACACTCAACAGTTATTTTGCTGTAAGAGATTAATTCAAAAAAGGACGTGTAAAGTTTCATCAAATATAGTTAATAAAAATGAAAATGAAAACAGATCTGACCAAGCAAATTGTTCTTTTTTATATTTATAAAAGAGAAAAGTTCATGTATTTCACAAACAAAACAAAACAAAACATCAAGACTAATGAATACTGGAAAAAAATACAAAATAAATAAAACAGTTGGGAAATAGGTCAAAAATATTGGCCGATATAAACAAAAGTGAATGTGTTTTTGGACTTTCCCAATCATTGTGTCATATTTTAAAGACAAATGATCTATCAGATGTAAATAAAGTGAAAATAGGCTTTTATATATTACACAAAAAAATTAACATATAAGTTTAAATCCTTAATAACTCTGTAACATCGTGGGGACAAATATCAGGTCCCCAAAAGTAATGCACAAAACTGAAATCTGATCTGGTACAATTTTCAAATCCCTAAGGCTGCAGTCAGGTCTAGAAAGAAAACAGAAATATATATATAAAGCACTTCATTGTCAGATATTCAGGAAGAGTGCTGTTAGCATTGTAGTTGTTGTTACCTGTACAGTGACTGGAGTTATGAAAATACGCTCATAAACTCAGAGTGGTGAATAATGAGGACGCTCTGGACGCAGAAGGGACGTGAGGAAGAACTTCACTGCGAACTGTTTAGAATCGACGAGTTCTGTTCTAGTTTCTGATCTTTGTTCTCGTGGCGTTTCCTCGTCACAAACAGACCTGGAAAACGTGGTCTTCAGGACGTGTTTTTATGATTTGTTACAAACGGCGAATAAACCTGAACTGAAACTCACATCACGTTTCAGTGAGAATCGAGAAACTGAAGCACGAGAACCCAACCTGTGTGAGTGTTGGGGTGGTCCATTCTGCGGAGACGTGTCCCCGACCCTGTGCTCCAGAGGAGGGGCTCCAGCCTCCATCTCCATCCTACTCCACCACACCGTCCCACTACTCCGACCGCCACCTGCCCCGCCACCACACAGCCCCACCACCAACCACCAAACACCACCAACCGCCAACCGCCGACCACCCAAACACCACCAACCGCCGACCACCCAAACACCACACAGCCCCACCACCAAAAACCCAAACACCACCAACCGCCGAGCACCCAAACACCACACAGCCCCACCACCAACCACCCAAACACCACCAACCGCCAACCGCCGACCACCCAAACACCACCCAGCCCCACCACCAACCACCCAAACACCACCAACCGCTGACCGCCCAAACACCACACAGCCCCACCACAACCACCCAACACCACCAACCGCCGACCGCCGACCACCCAAACACCACACAGCCCCACCACCAACCACCCAAACACCACCAACCGCCGACCACCCAAACACCACACAGCCCCACCGCCAAAAACCCAAACACCACCAACCGCCGACCGCCGACCACCCAAACACCACACAGCCCCATGGTTGGCCACCAAAACGCCAACAGCCCTATGCCAACCACCCAACCGCCAACAGTTCCACCACCAACCGCCAACAGTTCCACCACCAACCGCCAACAGTTCCACCACCAACCACCAACCGCCCCACTGCCCTATCACCAACAGACGGCCGCCAACCACCCAACTGCTAACAGCCCCACTGTCGACCACCAACAGCCAACAGCCCCACCGCCGACCGCCAGGCTCTGATTGCACAATGACTCTGCTGCTGCTCCAGAGAAAAACGTTCTGTGAGTGAACGCACGCTGACCGGAGAAAGAGAGCGAGGGGGGAAGAGGGGAGGAGGGGGTATGAGAGTAGAGGAGGGGGAGGAGGAGAGTAGAGGAGGGGGGGGTCCACGGCCACGGCCCTCTGTCAGCGTCGCCTTGGCAACCGTCGCCGAATGCGTCTGACATCCTGACTTTGCTGTGAAACTCGACTGTTCCTGCGCTGGAGATTACGGTGGAGAGAAGCGGCAGAAGCGTCTCTCGGCGTGTCTCCTATTTATATTAAAATGAGTCCTGCCTCGGCCTGATGTATGTATTTATGTATTTTGCTCATTTTCCTGTGCGCAGTCTTTCCTCCCTGACTCTCCGCTCGCCCCCCGCTGGGGTAAACACAACATTGCTATGATAGTGCTGCATTTTCAGCTCCGCCAAGGAGCCCAAACACTCTTCCTCAGCGCTGCCCCCCTCCCTCTCCTCTCCCTCCATCCCTCCATCCCTCCTCCTCCTCCTCCTCCTCCTCCTCTTTCCTCTCCCTCACTTCCAGCCAAGGTATTCAGCTCCTGTGATTACAAACAGTGGTAATGGCGGCGTCGCGCGGGGGCCCACAGAGCGGAGGTCCCCCACGGCTCCGCGCTGCCAGGCCTGCGCTGGGGCTCCTGGATGGAAGCTTTTTGTTAATAAAATGGAGCACAAATTGTGCTTCCTCCCCATAGCGGGGCGGGCGGTGGTGAATACATTATAAAGTAATGAGGAAGAGGAGGAGAGGGTCAGGGTCAGAGCTGCGCTGCTCCGGCGCGTGGATGAGTCATTGGGGTTTGAAGAGGCACACAGAGGTGCAGTTCAACACTGTTTCACGTAGCAACTGTTGCTAAGCGCAGCGGCGGCGGCGGCGGTGGGGCGTTCTGTGCATGAATGATGCTGATGAGCGGCTGCAGACGTGCGCACGGGCGCAGCGCCGGGCCCGGGGACAAGGGCGTCACGGGGGGGCCCCAGGGGGTCGTGGGGGGGTCACGGGGAGCCGCGGAGGAAGTGACTCTGTGTGACTGAATCAGCTGGAGTCACAAACACAAACACTGAGCAGGAGGGAGATTCTGACATCAGCACGTTTGTTTTACAAAACTCCAAAATGAGCCACGCAAAACTACGAGACACTAACGGCTCCACACACACGGAGCCACATCATGACTCTGGTGCTCCTTTAGAAATGAGGTTGGGGAGCTCAGTCACACTGGAGGAGCTCTGAGTAGAGCTGCTGCTCCTCTGGGAGGGCATCTGCTCAGATCTTCTCAACTCGACTCTGAATAAATCTGAAGAACAAGACGGATGAAAAATGAGTAAGAGGAAAAGTCGAGACGTAACTTCTGATTTATAATTAGAAATGCAAGAAATGCGAAGGACAAAACTTAAAAATCAGATTTTTTCAAAAGACTGACACAAAAATGAGACAAACTAGAAACACATGACACACAATGTGAGAATCATTTCAGATGATCACATAAAAACTTTATCACTTCAGACTCACAGAGGAAGACACAACGTTTCCTCAGGTAAGAGTAAAGTTCCTCAGTACTTTTACTACAGTAGTATATATAGTACATATATATTATATTTATAGTACAGTCACAGTCACTCTGAGCCTTGTGGTAAATGATATTGTAGTGAACAGTTTCAGAGTCAGCTCTGTAACAGCCGAGTCACGTCCAACACTTTGAGTGTTATTTGTGTCAAAATGGCCGACAGTGTTTACAGACGCTCACAACAGGAACAGCAGCAATTTGTCCTGAAGCCCCGAGAACAGGCCAGAGCAGCTCCGTCACCTCCAGCTCCGTCACCTCCAGCTCCGTCACCTCCAGCTCCGTCACCTCCAGCTCCGTCACCTCCAGCTCCGTCACCTCCAGCTCCATCTCCTCCATCACCTCCGTCACACGGGCTCATGTTAAACAGAACTAAACGCTACATCAGCATTTTGTTAAATCATAAATGGAATCTGAATCATGTTACAGTCCCTCTTTATATCACGGTTCACTTTTCATGGTCTGTCTGTTTCGTGGATTATTTTTAGTGCAATTTTGCATGCTTTTTTTTTTTTTTTTTTACAGTGTATGAACGTGTATCATGTTCCTCCCGCTGCGTCCTGATTGGCTGAGGGACTCTTGTCTCCTGTACAGTACAGAATGTGTTCAGACAAATGTACATAAATGTTGGATCTGTGTCAGTGATTCTGAAGTGCTGTGTGTTTGTTTTTCTCCTTGACAAAACCCGACGAAACGTTTTGCACCGACAAAGGCTCCTGCGCTCGAACCCAAAAGTCAGAGGAAGAAGTAACTCACACAAAAAGTTGGACTTCTGAACAGTTGAAGGAAGAGAGAAGTCACACGGCTGTGGCAGAGTCCTGCACCGGGTCGGGTCCCCGCAAATATTTACTGAAACCAGGAAGTAAGAGACAGAACTGTGAGCCCACGCAGCAGTGTGTCTGTAAAGAGCGATCGGGCAATGGTCACGTTTACCTCCGTGAGGTGTGGAGCTGAGCCGGTCCTTTCTCCTGCAGTCACCTCCGAGCCCGTCCTGACAGCGAGTCCTGATTTAGTCCTGTTTTACTCTTGGTCCAGTCCGTGGCGTGGGTAGCGGAAAAGTTTAATATAATCTCTTGCTGCCACCAAGACCGAGTCCAAGCGTCATCAAGACCGAGACCAGACCAAGTCCAGACGCGGTGGAGTCCGGGACGAGACCAAGACCGTAAAAAAACTGTGTCTCGAGGTCGATCTAAAGACCAGGGGCCTCATTTATAAAGCTTGCTTACGCAAAAATCCGTGCGTGCGCACTTCCTACGCCAACCGCGGTATTTATAAAACTCACCTTACCTTCTGATTTGCGCATTTAAGTGTTTGGTTCACTAAAATACGGAGAAGGGCTGTTTATTCCTCTCATTATTCTCCACAATATTATACATTTGACACTCGTGCACGAGCGCGGCCACGTTCCCGGACTCGGTGCAGCGCAGAGTCCCACAGTCCACACCACGACCATAGACTTTTATAGAACACAGACTGTGACCAACACAGAGGACGAAATAATGACCCGACCTGAGAGAAAAACTCTTCCCTTGGACGCAGCAGGAGCCAGACTTTAATTTAATGAATGCAATTTTAACACTTTTACTTTAGTCTTTACGCACCGAGCACCAGAGTGACTTGAGTCTGTGGACAACACGAAGCCCACTGCCCGAACCTGACCCCAACCAAAATCTTCCCTACATTTTTGTGTAATGGGGAACTGAGCACATGAGAGCTGCTCTCTGACTGTATGAAGAACAGAATAATGCCCCAGACCCACACTCACAGACCCGCACTCACAGACCCGCACTCACAGACCACACTCACAGACACCCACACTCACAGACCCACACTCACAGACCCACACTCACAGACCCACACTCACAGACCCACACTCACAGACCCACACTCACAGACTCACAGACCCACACTCACAGACCCACACTCACAGGTTCAGCAGTTTGGATGTTTCGTGTGGACTTTAATTGGCAGAATAACATCTGTATCTGATGTGTTTCGTGTTAAATCTGTGTCCTCGTGTCCTCGTGTCCTTCCCTCGCTCCTTTCCCTCTCCAGGGGAGGGCATCTGAATCTCTCGCACGCGCTCATAATTTGCGCGTGCACGTATCTACGTGTATATGCATAAATACACAGGACCAGTCCTCACACACTTCACAGACAGACTTAAAAATATAGTGATAAAACTCTTGAAACAGTGAAAAAACACATGTGTTTTACTGCAAAGATGTGCTGCCTAAATATTATAAAAAATGATTAAATGAACAGATGAGTCATTGTTGTCACTTTTAGTTTTGTATTTATTTATTAAACCTTGTTTAATAAAGTCTTTAATAAAGTGTTTGTCGTGATCACGTGGTGCTGCGTGGAGCCTCCTCCTCCCTCTGTCCCGCGTGTCTCGGTCAAACCCACTGATTATCGACTCATGTTTAGGGAAATCTCATTCACCAGTCACTTTACCTGCTCCTTTTATGGTGAGGTGGAGGTGTGAGGGGGTGTGGTCTGTCCTTTTATGGTGAGGTGGAGGTGTGAGGGGGCGTGGTCTGTCCTTTTATGGTGAGGTGGAGGTGTGGGGGGGGGGGTGATGTGACGTAGGTTTACGTGTGGGCAAATTGTAGTTGCAGGTGGGATTTATAAAGCAAAGATTGCAGGTTTGGTGCGTGCGGTGGGTTTTCTAAATATGGAGTTTGCGTGGCGCACGCCTGTCGTAGCTACAGACGTACGCACTAACTTACGACAACTCCTGTGCAGTTTTTATAAATGAGGCCCCAGAACCGGTCACGAGTGTAAAATCAAACTCCTGAACTGGACCATGAAACGGGAAAATAAAAACGTCCTCTTTAAATCCAGTTTGTATTTTCTGCTCTGTTCAGACTCTTTTAAACTTTTTTTTTTGACAGTATTTGCTAATGTGTACACTGTGTCACCATGGTAACTGTGGAACATTCAGCCATAGACATCCACGTAGAACCTCCCCAGTGTGATCTGAATGCAAAATATCAATCCTTGCTCTCTAAAATGTCCCATCATTTTTCCATAAAGTAAATGTGTGAAGTTTATAAAGGTGATATTGAGCCGACCTGACCGTCGCTTTCAGGAGCACTTCTTACCTCTTCATCTCTTCATCTCTTCATCTCTTCATCTCCTCCTCCTCTTCCTCCTCCTCCTCTTCCTCAGGCCTGACTCTAAGCTCTGGACCTGAGAGCGACGCTTTTATGAAACACGACAAACGCGTGAAAACCTCCAAGTCTAATGGACAACGTGTTTACTGCAGATGGACACGACCGAGACGACTCTGGAAGAAGGGAGGAGAAGAGAGAGAGAGGAAGGTAGGATAATTGAGGAGAGGGAGAATAGGAGAGATGATGAGAGAGGGAGAGAAGGGGTGAGGATATGAGAAGGGAGGAAAGTG